GCGGCTTGCGTCGTAGAGAGACTAATCTTGTTTCTGAATAGGTTACCTTGCAGCTCGAATACCATTGGCTGGCCCATGCCATTGATTACAGCATGTAGGCATGCAAACGTATAAACACAGGGAAGAGCTTCAAACAAGCCTCGAGACTGTTCGTGAAGGACGTTGACTCGACGAACGTTGCGATCAGGCTGAAGATACTTTATGACGAGGATATAACGACCTGCTTGTTTGACTTGAATCTCATAGGAAATGCTCAACTGGAACAGATTGAAAACATAAAATGCGGATCTTTTTTCTAGAATGAGTGTGCATCCCAGATGAACAGGAAGGACTTGGTAAGCGCGCAACACGGATGGGAAAAAGCAGAAATTAGAGTTACACTCTACTACGTGTTTGGGAGACTTGGAAAATATACTCTATATTGGTGGCGAGGTGAGAAGTTTAGAGGATATTACTGAGCAAAACCTGGAGAGGCTACAGCCCGTCTATTGCATCCCCTTATTGCCTAATGATTATTAAAGGCTACGCCTACCTGAGATCTTCCTAGAAGAGCCATTTTGTTGCCATAGCTTACTCTATTCAGTGCAAATTTAGGTTCGTCAAAACTGAGCACAGGAAACCCGTTGCCTTGCAAACCGTGGCTTCCTTGAATCGTTACGACGTCTGGATCGCTGGTAGTGTAATACTTGTGCATACTGCATTGCTTGTTGAAGTATTTGCGCACCTCACAGGGTTCTGTGGATACGAAACGWAGGACTGACCCAGTGTAGTACTCTTCTGGTAGAAGCGCCACGTAATCCTGTTTGATTTAACACCATTATGCTAAACGGTTAGAAAATTTCTCTTTTTAAAGAGATCGGAAAGCATACACACGCAGAACGAAYGAACGAACAACGAACTGCACATGTATGCACAAACAAAGRAATACTCCAGTTTCRAAKTCTCAAAGGGTTAGCCTCTATTTTGTGCAGAATATTCATGTGTTCCATGGAAGGTCCGTGGAATTTCAAAGTGTTTGTATYGWTGAAGTTGTGTGTTCTTTACTTYACCGTTAGTATTTGTGAATAKTTGGACATGGATATCAGGCTAAGCCTGAGTAAATRAGTCTGTAATCAAGGTAYACAGCARTATTTGACTAAATCGAGRACGTTCTRTTAATGCASGTTAATCAACCAATCAAAGCGTCTGTTATAAAAAAATATTCGAATATCTACATGTACGATGCGCCACAGGAATTCCAAGCGAATAAYTTACCATTAACAAGTCAGAGCTTCCCGTGTTGATTGACACAGTCCACATGCCTTTCTTCAATTCCCATTCTGCAGTTTTTCCATTTTCAGCCAACACTACGAACTTAGTTTGCGCTCCACCGCTGTAAGATGTCGGTCTAAATGTGTGAACTATCCTATGTGTGGGATCTCTTGCTCCTGGAGTAAAAGAAGTGTCGTAGTTAATCAATCCTTGGGTTTCCTTTGGATAGAGYCAGACAGCGTAGTGTATTCTTACCTTTAGGAGAGAGGATGATCTCAGAGGCTACAGAAGTGCCGTTGTTCAACGCGTAATGAAAAATAACACGATAGACACTGGAACGAGGGACTTGTATGTCCATGAGGATGGCCTGGGATCAAAAGCATGTGAAAATTATCTCGTACCTCGTGACACAAATGGAATTACGTCTGCGCATGCTCTAAGTCTATATGCAAATTAGTCCAAAACGTATTCGTTCCAAAAGAGAATAAAGCGACGAAAGACATGGCGGCCATGTAAGTTAAGATATATATAAAAAAGAGTAATTACAAATATTTTGTCCTCAATTCTATGAAAATCAGCAATATGTAAACATATTTAAGTTGTGTTTCGATGCTGTGCAAAACTTAAAGCAAAAACTGCTCGTTCCTGCTTGAAGTCAGCTCTTGAGACGCAAGCCTAATTCTTTCATATTGTCTTTATCAATATTGTGACTTGGTTTCAAAAAAAAATACACTGAAGCGAGATTGGAAAAACATACTGAAACACACGCATGCGCAAACAGTTTTCTCTATTCAGTGTTGTACCTTATAAGACTTCCACGGTTTTTGTCTAACACTTTATACTTTTGCAGGTTAATAAACATTTTTAGGTTGGGCTAACGGAAATGGAGATGCAAAGATATAAATTACAAGATTTATCTTTCTTACTTTCTGTTTGGGAGACACGACGTAACCGCTGCCAGAAAACGAAGGAAATGCTGCTTGATCAGAACTGCCCAACACAGGGATCCCGTCATCTCCTACAGCTCTTTCTAATTCAGCGCGTATGTGATGGAGGTTTGGGAAATAAGTCTTTGAATCCTTAGGCATTCTGGTAGTAACGGGAAAAACATTTAAAAGAACTAAGTCATATAAATGGATCTGGACGACCAAGATGGTTCGAACAGAGCTAGAAAAATCTTCAAAGGATATTCTAACCTCCCGTGTATAAACGTTCTTAGGTTGTCACGCAACGYTTCTCTCCCCACGAGGAGGAAAACGTTGCCTGACAACGTGAAGACCCTAAGAAAGTCTGATCCTATTATTTCCGAGTCTGGAGAATAAGAGGTTAGTGTAAAGATAGCAGCCTGAACTTTAAATGCTTCATTAGGGGTCCGGGGGTCCGGGTCTAAGTGATAAAAAAATCACATTTTCACTGATGAATCTTGAGGAAATCCCAAGTTCGCGGACGAAAGTGTTTTACATTAAACTATTCGTATTTATATTAGCCTACGCAATGACTATTTTGCTTGGGATCACTGAGATTCACAATACCTATCGCAGTTGATGCCTTCGACATTTGGTCGACATCTACAGCGTCCAGTGGCTTTGTCACACACTCTGCTTACAGATCCGCCGGGATTGCACGAACAATCTAGAAAGGGGAAAAAAACTGTTAAGATACATGTAAACATTATATATTACGATTCTTCAGTTATCCTCTGCTACAAAAACTAGCTGAGCTTAGTCATATCATATATGTTTTTTAGGTAAAATCCCAATCCATCTGAAAATTCCCCTCGAAAAAATGCCGCCATTTTGTATCCCACAATTCTATGCGTGTCGCATTTGTTGCCAGTCTTTTTCTGTGCTTTGAAGAGAGCTACATGAGGCCCAATATCAATACGGGGAAAACGGATTATAAATGAAAATATCTGGTCCTTGTTCAACCTCGTTCCCATAGAAGAGAAGATAGGCCCTGGGAACGGGATTGGTCCTTATTGCGCATAGTGGTCAGTGGTTACCTTTACATCCAAACATATCCTGAGACACGAGTCCATAAAATCCATTAATACAAGTKCTGCACTTCTTTCCTCCAACTCGATCCTTGCAGCTGCATTTTCCAGTGATCTCATCACAGCCACGGATTCCTGAGGCAGTGCCTCGCGAGGAGCATGCGCAGGACAAGCAACCGTCTGCGTTGCTGGAGTCAAAGTCATAGAATCCATATTTACAATGATCACAGGTTTTTCCCATCACATTCTTCTTGCAAAGACATCGAACCTGTTGGAATACGAAATATATAGAATCGTAATTACGCGCGCCAAATTTACAACCTCAACAGGATTTAAAATAGATTTCATTCTAAGGGTTTGGTAGCCACTGGCTACTTATATATCGACCTAATCCACTGTTTTACTATTTCAGACCGCGTGTCATTTCCTAGAGTATCATTTCTTTGTTTAACGGTTGCGCATGAGAAGACACATGAATATGGATACAACTCAAACAAAGAATCTTTTTTACTTGGGAATGACACGTGATCTAAAATGGAAAAACATTATGCCCAAGTGGATTTGGTCCATTAAGTGCTGCATCCTCTTAAAACAACAACAATTTCTATAGTCTAGTGTCTATACACTGCGCACCTCACTAACACCAATGCAGGTTGATCCAGCGTCTCCAACTTTTGTCCCCGTTGGGTTACAATTACATCGTGTACAGGACGGAAAACCCACCAATCCTGCAGCACATTGGTCGCATGTCTTGCCAATAACGTTTAGTTTACACTGGCAAATTCCTGTTATGGAATCGCAGGTGGATGAGTAGGAGCCTTGAGCATCGCAACCGCATTCTGAAAACAGAAGAAAAAGTTTTAGTTATCATCAATAACTGTCTGTCTGTCTTTGTTTAACATTTCGTCCGACCTCTCCATCTAGAACTGTCCCTTTGTCCGTCTGCAATGTCCGTTAGCTCACTGTATTTTCAGTATTTATTTAACTTACCCAAGCAGTGAGGGAATCCGTAATAACCATCTGCACACCGGTCACAACTGCGTCCAGTGTATCCTTTAAAACATATGCATTCACCCACCTTTCCGCACCGACCAAACCCAGATCTACAGTCGCACTCTGAAATGAAATGAAACCTTTATTTATCCAGGTTATCCCTTCAGTGATCCTAAGGACACTATTATCAATGGGAACCCTATGGAAAATGTTTGAAATGCTCTGCTCCTGCTTCAGACATTGAAATTGAAGTTGGGATGTTGGGATGTCYTTGGTAGCCTGCTCAAAAAGAGTGTCTCGGTAACAGACCTCTTTAGCTACGGGGTGTAATGTTTTCCTATTTACATGCACGTGTCATTCTCTTGAGAATAAGATGCTTCGTTTGAGTTGTATCCATGTTGATGTATCTTTTCATGCGCAAACGTCCAACAAGAAATGATACTCTAGGGAATGACACGTGTTCTGAAATGGGGAAACACTACGTCCAAGGTAAATATTCTACGTTTGAATGGCAGAGATTGTCTTAATCTTTCCATATAATGGCTTTTTCGAACGTCTTGATACTGTGAAGTAATATTGAGGCCAAAAAGGCCACAGAGGCCAAAACACAAGGAAATAGCAGCCATGTTGGTGGTATTAGCAAAGGATGCTAATGAGAAATCTTGTGTTAAATAACACCAACATGGCGGCTATGACGTAACATGTAAATAAACAATGGGTACATGCACGTACGTACCTGTGCACTGTGGGTATCCATAGTAGCCGGGTCTGCATTGATCGCAAGACTCTCCCATAAAGTTCTTCTTGCAGATGCATTTACCATTGTTGTCACAGACGTCGTCTGTCGTGGTCTTGAGATTACAGTTACACCCTGAATCATACGAAAACAATTAAGTCGTATTTGCTAGCTTGCTTTACAACAAAACATGCCTATGAGTTATGACTTGTATAGAAAGCCTCCTTTCTAGGTATAAACCTAATTTAGAAAAACGTTGTCATCGCCAAAGGCGATAGGCAACAGGTTATTGGCRAAAAGCGATAAGAGATAGGTCATTCCAAGATCCAAGAATAGCTGGAATGACTTGTGTTTCTGCTTCTTATTCTCATCAAGAACATGGACCTTAGTGTTGAGACTGATTCAATGTTCTTTGTATTTAACGAAACCATTTCCATGTCGGAATGACCTATCGCTTATGCGCCTTTGGTAAAATAGTTGTATACYTAAAGGCATGCAATCATGAGAGGTTGTTAGTATGAGGTGTAGGCGCTGAGGATGGTCACTGCCAGGGTTTCTTTACGTCTTCAGTGTTCTTTTGCGTCTCTCCGTTATTGATCATGATGTTGATGATGAAGTGTGGAAATCATCCGAGCCACTTGAACGTCTCAAAGACAGCACTTTCTCCTCAGTTATTTAAAAACCTCTAAAAATGCGTTTTTTATATATTTTACTCAAATGTGATTTGAGCGTAAAATAAGCCAGTTTCACAAACAGATTACGTGGCCCTACCTCCTTAAAGCGAGCAGTCAAAATGAACACAACCAATAAGAAAGCACCTTAATATCAACAAGAAGGCGACAGGTTCTTGTCATCCTAGGCATTTTGCCTTCGGTTTTACTTTTAATGCCATTTGTTTTGTGAATGGACATTGTGAAATGAAAATGCCTTCTTCTGACGTTCGTTTTGACTCGATTAACTACTCACTTTAAGGAGGTAGGGTCACGTGAACTAGTCACCCAACTTACACCAACACAAGGGAAAGTTATAGTATCCTGCGGGACACTCGTTACATCGGCGACCGTACACTCCGTCTTTGCAGCTGCACTGGCCTGTCTTGGCATCGCAAAGGAAGCTGTACGAACCAGTTTTACTACACAAACAAGCTGGAACCAAAAACAAAACGAAAAAGTTAAGCAATTGGTAGTTTTCGTTGCTGTTGAAATAACCCAAATGTCTTAATGACTAGCGATTACTAGTCAGAACTATGGTAGTGTGTTGAATACAACAACAAAAAATTGTCGCACACACGTTAGTTTCAGGCAATCTGTTTTCGGCAAAAACGTAATGACGAAAAATTTAGAAAAATGTTTTTCCGTATTTGCTTTCTTTTAAACATGTGTTAATCACGGCCACCTGTCTTCAGTCATCTCTCCGTTAAGACTGAACGTAGACAAGCTATTCTCTGCCTATATGTCATAGGTCGACGAAAAAAACATTGTAGTACATTGCAGTGAATTGCAGGGCTGTTTTAGGGGACATATTTCCCAGACGGTAGCTTTATTAGTCCCAAAATCCACTGCTATGCCACAGAATTGACCCAATTATTTGCTCATCCTTGGAATGGTTAATATACAGTAGATTATGACTATTCTGCCATTCATACTTACGTCTACACCTTGGAAAGTCATAGTGTCTAAGTGGACATAAATCACACTTCGTTCCACGAATTCTGGTTTTGCACGGGCATCGTCCTGTTTTCTGGTTACACACCAGATTTGTCGAGCCTTCGGAGTTGCACTTGCATGCTAGGAAGATAAGAAAAGGGTCAAATTAACACTGAWTTAAATGATGAGGTCAAAACCATGGTCCCTGGTAGAGACCCGCACGTCTTGCGCTCCTTTATATGCTCGATACTGGGTGTCTTAACTATTACCATAGACTTGACATGATTGTGATGTTGATGTTGATGTGCCAACCTTTTTAACGATTTTGTCACAATACTTTATTGGATTTTCTAATGGATTTTTTTTGTTGGCAATCAAAATAACAATCAACCACCACCAATTTGAGCAGAAAAATTCCAAAATTTCGATCAACTCAACGGAAGTGGTGCCGTTACCGAGAGTATTCCAAACCCTCTAGCCATATCCTGTCTAATCGAATCCTTCCACGCGACAACCTTCCTGACGTCATCCCTAAGTTAAATATCAACATTTTCCATTAAGATCATATACTTACGTAAGCAATTCGGAAACCCATAGTATCCCGGCATGCAGCTTTCACATCTTCTACCGCGGTAGTTTGGAAGGCAGTTGCAACCACTGTTGAACGATACTGGGTTACACTGCATTCCCCTTGTTGCAAACTTGTTGCAAAAGCAAACTAGAAAAGGGAWTTTTTTGKAAATATTTGAGATGTTGAGAAGAATTTGTAGTGTGCACKGCGTATGCGTTGCCCCTCACCAGTGCGAGCCGCGCTCTAGCGTTCGATTCCYTAGCTCGGTGTCATATGTGAGTTGAAATAATTAATGGTTTTCTCCTGTGCTTCGAGGACTTTTTTCTAATGAGAGGTACCGCATTAGCCAAGCAAGCCACCCGTGCATTCCMGTGCTTGAGAACGATTATTCTTACGTTGGTCAGGTATTCCTTGGTCGCCTTGCATCGATGACAGTGAGGCATTCGTGTTGTCCCGTGATGACACTACAGAATGTTCTGTAAGTAAGAAATTAATATCCAATAATTGTATTATGAAGGACAGTGCAAGTATAAGAGTATATATAGATGGAAAGCAAGATGTATAGCAGAGCATGAAAAAACAGAACATAGCATGTCATGGCATAGCGAGAGCAAACAGAGCAGAGCAGTATATATGATACGATTTCTTATAAGTAAAGAATAAGACATTCYTTACTTTTGCAAGAGAAACTCTTCSACTTCTTTCKTTCTCGTTTGAYGCTACCACGACAGCACCTTTCGCAATTTCTGCCACAAGTGTTGTGCTGACATGCGCACTTCATTAGGCCATCATGTGACAGTACGCATGCGTCAGCATGACCATTACATCTGCATCGACCCTTGACATTGAGATCCCGGATGGAATAATAAGCTATAGGACTTTCCATTGATYTTATTTGTAGGAATCTCAGACGTARTTTCGATGTCAAAATTGGGACCTAAAGAAAACAAATTGAGAAAATTTGGGATAGGGTTGAAATTTCTATCAGCTTAAAGATAGTCTGCCCGTGTCGATCCCAAAAATCACCAAATAATTAGACCTAGTCCACTGTTTTTCCATTTTATATCATGTGTTATATCCTAGAGTTTCATTTCTTCGTTTAATGGTTGCACATGAGAAAACACACATGAAGATGCCACATGAAAAAGACACATTTTGTTGCTCTCTTGAACGCGCGGGGAGTGTGGACGAGTTTGAAATTTGTGTCAATACAGTAAAGACCTACCCCAAACCGACATGTAAAAAGACTATCGTTACAGAATAGAAAATAGCTTAATAAATTAGACTAACCTTTCTAGTAAAATCTTTTTAGTAATACCATCATACAATAGCATAACAAAATTATTCCAATACCTTTACATGCTCCGAAAACCTTGCCTTTCGCCTCACAACACAGGTCCATCGATTGTGTTTTCTACATTCCAATGGCCTAGTGACGTATGATTTCCACACTTGAAACTGACGCCGGYGAGGATTCCAAACCTCTAGTACCCAGACCCCAGGTAAAGGTGTGTTGCCTGCGCGTATGGTAAAACTAGTCACWTCGAAATCCTGCATATAATCAAAGAGAATTGCAACATGTTAGATATATGGTCAAGCATATACAAAAGTAGATTTGTTTCTCATCTATTCCTAATAGACYTCTTCRCCTTGGGYGTAATATTTTCCCTTTTCAAACCACGTGTCAATCTCTTGACAATAAGCTTCTTTGTTTGYRTTGTTTTCWCGAGTCTTTTCACGACTCTAGRAAATGACACATGGTCTGAAATGGGAAAACATTACGCCCAAGGTCATGAAGAGATCTATTTTGGGATAGGCGTATCAGAGAATCCACTATCGCACAAAATAGGGGGAGACAATAGGCGCTACTTGAATGCTTGACGACACGCAAGCATAAAATTTCTAGTCCTGTCCTCCAATATGGTTTCTCCTATCTTCCAATATGGCGGCTTACCTGGCCAAACGACACAGTAATATTCAATTCCTGAGTTATGCTGTCACGTGTCACGCCAGGGGATTTCCATTGGGTGGAGATATTGCCGTCCAGAGCATGCGCAATCGAGGAAAAATCGTTACTAGTCGCTTTTGATAATCCTAGAAAGCCCAATATGAGATAAAATATTACTACGCACAAGTGGAATTGGATTTTATTGTTTTTGGTTATTTGGAGGAAGGAAAACTGATAGAACCGTTAGAAAAACTCTCCAAGGGATAGAGCTAACAAACTCTACTCACATGTGATGCTGAGTCCAGGAATTGAAGATCCTAGAGCCTAGGTGAGAGGCAAGTGTACTGACACTACACTGCACTACCTCAATTGATTTCCAATGACGGAGTCACAAAACATGCAATAAAAATTTTGTTCGCTATGCTCTCTTAATTTTTTTCCACGCAATAAAACACTTCCCGTGCAAATCAGCCTAAAACATTGAGAACTCTTCAGAACTATAATTTCTGGGTTCGATTGAAAAAAGCCATTACATGGTGTTACTGTTGATACATTGATTTCTCTACAAATTCTCATGCGCAAAAAGGTTGTTCAGCTATATAGAAATACGTGCATAATGTTAGTTGACATCACTCATCGTATCTCACCATTTAWGCAAGTACTCCAGGGCACATAAACAAGAGACTCTTATAGAGGGCACCTTTGTAAGTGAATACCTCTAAAGTACTTCCGCTAACAAGCGACATAGCGATGTGTAAACCAAGAGAGGTATGTGACTGCCAAAGATAACAACGCGATTATTATTGCTGTCTAGAGCTCTTGGCACAAATATCTCAGGAATTGAGAATTGAAACGAAAGCCTCATATACAATTGCCGAGGTAGTAGGGTAGCAAATCGTTCTCGTTGCTTTCTTTTATTTTGTTACATGAACCGAGCGGCGTTTTTTCCTATTTTATTCTCTCTTAGGAATGGTTGCAAAATCAGCCATGGATGTGAAGGCGGTACTGCGCCTTTGAGCGTGTATGAGAAATATCAGGATTCACTCATAGCTAGCAGAAAACGGGACGGGTAAATCAGCCAACAAGTCACGTTTCCGTGTCATTTGCTCAGCGTCATTTTAAAAGGTTTAAACTTGAGTAGTGATAGGTGTCGCGCACTTATCATGACGCTTAATCCATCAATGAGACTGAAAGCTATATGGCTCTTGCCTCGTTGGGCAATCTTCCATATGCTTATGAATCCGGTGAATTCGAAAAAAATGCTTTCTATCTCCTATTTAATATAGAATTTTAAAAAATATATCAGGCTCCCGACTTTCCCTCTAGGGACAGGAATGGAGATGATCATACAGACTAGAAAATACCGCTAATCAAAAATGTGCAAATGATAACAATTTTTTACACTAAGTGAAAATAGATTATTCTCCTTCCTTAAAGACTTTGCAAAGGAATTTTCATGATACATTTAAATTCCCTTCAAAAACAATCAGAGAGAACCTTCTGTTTATAGCGACGTACAGTTCAAGGAAAACGCGTTTATGTTGGCTCTAGTAATTCTGATTTCGGACTCACTTTTACTGTTAAAATATAGTCCGGTACCTATCGATCATCATCAAATTCGATAGGCGAAAGGTGAGAGTAATGACTTCTTTCTTCATTTTACAGAAGAACTATACCTCTATTCACAGAGATTAGTGAATATGGCAAGTTGTAATAGATCCAAGATAAATATACGAATTTCTTTAGCTGTAATGTTTAGTGGTTCTATTTCTGAAATAAGATGTTTGTATCGTTATTAGAACATGATATAAATAGTAAAACTGATGTAGTCCAAATAGTGTGAATAGTTGTTTATCGTGACTAGAACAGACGAACATCGTTACCTAATGAATGACTTATCTTTCTGCTAAATCCATCTCCAAATGTTACAACAGCTTTTACTTTTGGTGTCTTCGTGATACTAAATTGTGGCGGCAGAAGTTTCTTGTAATGGTAGCCCTCAGTTAAAGAGAATGATAAAACGAAGAAAACCAGGTCGAACAGATAAACCACCAACATTGTTCAGTCCTTCGTTGCCCGAGGAAATCCTCACACTATAACGAAAAAACAAGTTCCTTGACTCAATTTCCTTATCTCATTGAGTTTAAATAGGCTAGCCGATACCCAGCCTTCCTCTTTCTCTAAAACAGCAGTATTCTTGTCGCTGCTTTTAGTAAAGAAATWAAATTGCGTATGCTGTTTTGTTTAACTAACGAACTTTCAATGTGCCGGCCAGAGTGACTCAGTCACGCTGCTGGCTCTATGGGATACTGACTTCCGGTTAAATGCAATACGCCTTTCCGGTTAGCCCAGTCTACGCCTGCACAGATTAATGCTAAGTATTTGGCACTTGATACAGTGGTACAAGTGGTATGAAAGTGGTAAAACGGTGGGTCAAATGTCGGGTACTACGTTCTTCATTTTTCATTAGGTACTTGCTCCTCTGAACATGAAGCTTTCAGTTCTCTTGAGAGACTGTCAAAATGCCTAAAAACCCCTCTACGAATAAACACGTGGCAATTCTTGAAGGTTGCGTTTGGTCGTTGAAGCAAAATAGCTTTAAAATAGCTTTTTTTTTTTAATTATTGTAAATAGAGTTAAAAAAATACTTCGAAATCTAGCATCAAGGACAAATTTCAGCACATGCCAGGACGAAGAAAGTAGGTGGAACGTTTCGAGTGATAACAAGTCCGCGACAGCCGGACGAAGGATAATGAAACGATTTCATTGGCTCCCAGTATTATCCGTAGCTTGCACGTTCCGATCAATAAAAACGCGATAGCCGGACGAAGGATCAGGAAAAGATTTGATTCAGGCTCCGAGTATTATTCGAAAATATGTCCACTTACTAACTTACTTTTTTTTTACAACTTCATTGGGCAATGGCTATAACTAAGGTATAGTACATGTATACATAATTAGAAAAATAAACGTGAAAGACTACCTAATACACCCTTCTCGTAATAGCCGACAAGTGCACGAAAACGAGGTCACCCAGTCATTATTTCACGATAAGAGATATAAAATTACACTATGAAACAGGCCCGTAGCGGGGGGAGGGGCCAGGGGGGCCTGGCCCCCCCAATAATTTGACAACTTTTTTTAAAAAGTAAACGTCCAGCTAAATTTCAAACACTATTATCTTAAAATTGATAGAGTCAACTAATTTTTCTCAAAAAAGTTCACATAGTTGGCATTTGTAAATGATGAAAAACTCAAGACAAGACATGTGGAAGAGCACATACTTGAAATAAACCATTCAAATGCTTCATATAATTTGCATTTAGGCCCTGGCTAAACGAAGAAACATGTTTCCCACGCACATGTTTAGCCATATGCAAAATATTGCTGCGTGCAACAAATTTTGATTCCAAGACGCAAAAATGTTTCTGCTGTGCGGTAGAAACATTTCATGCTTCCAAGACGCATGAAAGCAATGTTTCCCAATGTTTCCTCGTTTAGCCACGAAAGTCAACATTCTAAAAGTTCGTTACTTAGCAACGCTAGCTCTATCTTGAAAGTGCACATGCGCTAACCGATATTGAGTAAACATGTTTCCCGATGTTTCCTGACAGTTTTGCCACCTTTGGAAACATTTAAGGAATGTTTCCTCGTTTAGCCAACGCCTTAGAAATTCATGTGTGAACCTTGTCAATTTCATTCTCGGCTTCTTTTATTAAATCAACTCAGACTTAATTAAAAGTAACTGGTTCTTTTTATTTAAAGTCAGCTGTGTGCTTCATATACATATGTTGAATTTCTATTTTTTGCTTGTACATACACTAACGTGATATTACATTGAATAGATATTCACATGTTCGATGCTGAAGGTCTTTTGTCCATAAAATAAAGAATTTTAATTATTAATTATGCTGTTTTGTAAATTTTATAAAAGTCGGATACGGTCATATGGGGCGTGGCCAAACGAGCCCCCCAATAATTTTACCCCTGCTACGGGCCTGAATGAAATGACTTTAAAGAAGAAAAGTATTTTTAAAATGGCCTTTGTTTTGATCTGAATTAGCGCTAACAGCCTTTATTTTGAATGAGTAGCTTGGCTCAACCTTGCAAGATGACTGGGTGACCTCGCTTCCGTGCGTTCATCAGCCATTATGAGAAAGGGTGTATAGGGATAGCGCGCGCTAACGGGACTCTGAGTCACATGCTAGACAATTCCCTTGAGGACGTACATTAGATAAAATAAAATAAAAAGCAGGTATAGTATAAGTTATTGATTATAGTACAACATTGATTAACCATATTAACTCTGGATGGTTGATTCACTGACGATAGGAGTATCGCGCGGTCGCGTTGTTGTTGGTATGGTACAAACCGCGAGCTGGGGTGGTGTAGCGTCAGTCCTGACCGGTTTTCGTCTCT